AAAGGGGGCTGTGTACTGTGTAGTGTGTATGTGACCCTGGTCATTAGAAACACCCCTAAATTTTCCTAATGACCAGGGTCATGTACATTTTAATCTGTAAAGCCTCACATTTTATCTGATGCAGATATTACCGCGGTGACGTTCAGACTATGTACAAGTGGCGAGGTCATGGCCGCATATGCACTAGGCAAAGGCAAAGGCAAAGGTAGAGGCAGAGGTAGAGGTAGAGGTAGAGGTAGAGGCAGAGGCAGAGGCAGAGGCAGAGGCAGAGGCAGAGGCAGAGGCAGAGGCAGAGGCAGAGGCAGAGGCAGAGGCAGAGGCAGAGGCAGAGGCAGAGGCAGAGGCAGAGGCAGAGGCAGAGGCAGAGGCAGAGGCAGAGGCAGAGGCAGAGGCAGAGGCAGAGGCAGAGGCAGAGGCAGAGGCAGAGGCAGAGGCAGAGGCAGAGGCAGAGGCAGAGGCAGAGGCAGAGGCAGAGGCAGAGGCAGAGGCAGAGGCAGAGGCAGAGGCAGAGGCAGAGGCAGAGGCAGAGGCAGAGGCAGAGGCAGAGGCAGAGGCAGAGGCAGAGGCAGAGGCAGAGGCAGAGGCAGAGGCAGAGGCAGAGGCAGAGGCAGAGGCAGAGGCAGAGGCAGAGGCAGAGGCAGAGGCAGAGGCAGAGGCAGAGGCAGAGGCAGAGGCAGAGGCAGAGGCAGAGGCAGAGGCAGAGGCAGAGGCAGAGGCAGAGGCAGAGGCAGAGGCAGAGGCAGAGGCAGAGGCAGAGGCAGAGGCAGAGGCAGAGGCAGAGGCAGAGGCAGAGGCAGAGGCAGAGGCAGAGGCAGAGGCAGAGGCAGAGGCAGAGGCAGAGGCAGAGGCAGAGGCAGAGGCAGAGGCAGAGGCCTATTTGCGGTTGACCTTAGCACTTTTATAAAATCCAGGTTCTTTTATTCGAGATTCCTTTGACCATGGAGTTGGTTGGACTAATGGTTATGACACTATGACACTATGACAGCTAGCATGTTGAGATTCATCATCGGACAGCTGTACGATAATAATAATATTATGTAGTTGCTTCGTATGCCGTATGGGACATGTGTCTATTTAAAGATTATCTTTAAGTTATGATAATTTAAGCAAATTATGCATAACATTGACGCACGTACAATATTTATATTTAATAAGCATTAAGCATCTAAGTGGTGATGTCCATAGCATTGGAATAGAATATCAATAAGCACTTAAACATTATAAAAATATAAAACGCTCTTAAGAAGACGAAAATCAAGAAAAAACAAGTTATATCAAAAGCTGTCTTTATACGTACTTGTGCCTATTATAAAATATAATACAATATAATAATAAGATATCTATATTCTATACTACAAGCCGGGAATCAAGCACGTGTTCAAACCTCTAACAAAATTTAGGTTGTATTGCATTATTTCAGGATTATTCTAGAACTTTCTGGAACAATCCAATAACTAACTGGATCATCATATACCTAACAGCTCTACCGATAAATTTCAATCCAATAATCTACCAATCAGAAAATGAGATGGTTTACAAATTATCTTTGAACTTTAAGTTATGAATATGATGCAATGATTATTTTTAACCGAACCACATTTATTACAGGCTGCCTTCATCTGAAAAACTTGTGCTTAAAAACCATTAAAATAAACAAACTAATGCATCCAAAATCTAATTAAAATTTAGATCATGACTTTGTAGCGCTGGTGTCATCATAATAACCTATATCATTTGTAATTGTATAGGTTGAATTAGACCTGCCGGTAATATTCACAAAATATAAGACAGTGCAATTGAAAAATATTTTGTTCACCTTATATAAGTGGCTTCAGAGTTTCAGTTAAGCGGAAATTTCCACTTTCAATCAACAAATCAGCTGTTTTCAAAACCACAATTCAGAAAGATTTGTGAAGCTACATAGATGCGCGTAGACATAACTATCAACAAGAACTATTAATAACTATCACAAATATTTCGATAACATAGATCTGGAATTGGATAGCAGGTACTCGTGTGGAGATGAACCATATTAAAGTTAACAACCAATCAGCTTCTAGTATTAAAGTTAACAACCAATCAGCTTCTAGTATTAAAGTTAACAACCAATCAGCTTCTAGTATTAAAGTTAACAACCAATCAGCTTCTAGTATCAAAGTTAACATCCAATCAGCTTCTAGTATTAAAGTTAACAACCAATCAGCTTCTAGTATTAAAGTTAACATCCAATCAGCTTCTAGTATTAACCAATCAAAACCCAGAGTCACTGACACGTGTAAGAACGACCACACACGTCCCACAATTAGTATCCAAATATATTAACCATATCACAATTATGTGAGCACTGATCAGATCATTTAATAGAGTGCTCATATCCAGGAAAATGTTTTAAATATCAGATTGAACAATTTCGACCTAGAAATCCTGATGTTAAATGATGATGCAATGATTGACGTTGTAGTTTGTAGTCGGTAACTTGAAATGTCGATCATGGACACTTAAAATATGGTTGACGCACAGTTGACAAACATTAAACGGTTACCTAGAATTGACGCACAGTTAAAATTAACGGTGAAGTGATGGCAAAGAGCTACAGGGATCAGGGCCACAAAAGCATGAAAAGAATAAACATCTCAATTGAACCTGTGACGAAAGCTTGTAGAGGAGACCTGGGATTGGGGAGGTGTTTTTAATTTCCACAGAGCTGAATTTACAATTTCCAAAATAAAAGTTCTTTTAACGCACTCTGAATTTAGTGACAGTTTATACACTCTATAAGTGAAGCAGTAAGAGAGGTTTTATTATGAAACGGATCGAACTAGCTTCAAGTTCAAATGTGAAGAATCTGCAATTAGTATTGTAAGTCTGAGGAGTTCCGGCTTGGATAAAATTAGTCTAGGTGACCCTACGTGATTCTATTGTATAACCAAACTTTCACAGTAAGCTAACTTTGCAAATTCGGCCAATCAATCACTCATAATTCACTAGTAATTGCCGGCTAAGTATCGAATATGGGACATATGGTGCCAACCACAATGCTAACCACAATCCTCCACATTTGACATTGCGCGTACAGTAGGTACGTCATTACGCCATTACGGCAACCAATGATCTCTATCCTTTCTGTTCGGGGGCACCTTTTACTGAGTGTACTCAAGGCTTTGTCACAAACTTCTTTGTTAATTATTGGTCAGCTGCAGCTAGGTTTGCAAAAATATTTCTGGTTTGGCATTTAGTCGATGGAAAGGATGTGTTTTAACGATGTGACTGATCCTTAACGGGTGATACTCGTAAAATATCTGTTCCGAGTCCAACTCGGCGCGCGTCCTGGTAGGTTATAAACCTACAAGACTGATCCCTTCTCGAGATCTGTTCTCGAGATCTGTTCTCGAGATCTGTTCTCGAGATCTGTTCTCGAGATCTGTTCTCGAGATCTGTTCTCGAGATCTGTTCTCGAGATCCCTTCTCGAGATCTGTTCTCGAGATTGAGTTGCATTTACCAGTGGGGAGCCGACACAGCGACCAACATCTAAAGGTTGATCAACATGTCAGAAAATTATTTTCTGTCCATTGATTGAACCAGAGCCTTCAGTTTTATTCAACATAAATTTGCTCGATATTTCTACTAGTGGTCAACTGCATACGACAATTTGTTTGAAGGCTTGTAGTCTGATGTAAAGCGAAGATCCATTCGATCGGAAGCGGCACCAGCATGTACAATCAAGTACATCAAGAACATCATGTACATTCTTCACTTGCTTTACGTAAAAATAACGACATTTTTTAATTCCTGAATTCTGCTTGCTGGACTCTACCGCATATTTGGCAGACTCTCCCACAGTACACTAGTACAGCAGAATTTGCACGGCAGACGCTGCCCTAGACATATTTTGCCTTCTTATCTTGTCTGCGTGCTGCCAATACTTCATACCTCATACTCGTTTTTACTCTTCTTCTTTTTACTAATTGATGCACAGTAACCTGAGTACCTCAAGCTTGATGTTACTAACTGTTATTAACTTTCACACAACTGAAGTAGATTTATTTACAGTTTTAGTACGCTTGTGCAGGAGTTGAACTCCCAAAAAAGGGGACAGTAAGCGAAATACCTTTGATAATTCGTGCTTTCCTTGAAGATATTAGTTTACATTCCACTTTTGCTTTTATTTAAATTTAGGATCTTTGCTCTGGAGTTTGGACCACTACTTTGATTATTTAAGAAAATGATTTTCTCTTCACCTATTTGAGAGGACCTAAGAAGATACTGCTTCGAAATTAGAAGCGCTCAATATTATTCGACTTCGAGTTAGATTAATACCAATCCATTGCAATATTATGTCAAACTTTTGCAGGATAGCCACAATTCTAATTAATACCAAAAGAAAGCACGACAAACAATTATTTCAAACTCAGCAAAAGGGCCAAAAATGCAAAAAGTTAGCCCCTCTCCTCCTATCGATTTGAAAAGGCATTGATAAGTCTAAAAGTACGCCATCTGGGCTGCATAACAACGAGAAAGTTTCATGAGCTACCTACTGTTTTACCAATGTTTTGCCACTGGATTAACCTCTATGTGATTGCAATAGTACATAATTGGTAATGCATTAACTTTTTCGAAAAATGTTAACATGTTGATTGGTGATTATTGATGAATCTGATTTTGGTTGATGTCATAACGAGTTATTTGCGATACCACAATCTCACAAAAACCTGCAGATATTTAAATTTAGCTTTGGTTCACAGGACAGATTGTCTACTGAAGTACAACCGACGTTTGAATGACTTTTAAAACAGCATCAGAGTCTGTCTTTGTTTACACTATTTAATATCGTATGAAGCATAACATATTATTATACTTCTAGATAATATGCGCAGTGCAATTAGTGCTTTATCAAGCAGCACACTTGGATATCGTATACTATCAGCTTGGAAATCGTAGTATTTCAAGGCTCACTTGCGCTATCTAGAGTTGCTTAGCATGTATTGATTAAACGGATTGACATTCCTGATTTGTTTGTGACATAGCCGTCAGGACTCAGGAGGGTTGTATTTCGATTTGTCTTAACGTTATGTTTTTAACTCCAGCCTCTCGACCCGTTTGGCAAATGTCCCCATCGTGTCATTTTGAATTTGATCCCTTAAAAGTGGACCTTTTCGAGCTTGAAACCGAAATTAAGTGCCAAAAACATGTGGTGTTTGGACCCTGGGGTGATACAACTCATTTTTCAAGGTAAAAGTTGGTTTTCTGGCATTTTATTTTATTTGTTGAATATCCTGATAGATATCTGATGTTTCGAATATCGCGCTAAATACTGTTTTTAATCTTTATAAAATCAGATGGTAAGCAGCAATGCGTCCGACAATGTGCACTGTGCAAGCAGGAATTAAATTTTAATCTCCTTATTCCAGCAGATGTTGGACAAAGACTCCCAAGAGAGGAAAGAAAAATTCGAGGAGGGGAAAAAGGAGGCAATCTACGAGAAAGATTCACCCCAAAAGGAGAATGACTGTTACTTTGGACACAAGGTATTACTACTATAAGTTCCGTGGCACTTCGAGACGTACCGCTTATATATTATTAGGACAAATATTCTAGAAAGTACAGGGAATTCACAAATTATTAAATAAACAGCATTTTAATACAAACAACTAACCTTGAAAGCCACTATGGAAGGGGATATGACATTTTGAATCGTGGACGACCTCCTTCTCGATCCCTTATCTGCGGTCGAACCTGAGAGAGGATTTACAAAATTATGTTATTCAGGAAAGTACAAATGGGCACTGGGCATTGAGTGTCAGTTAAGCCAATTGGTTAGTTAAGCTAAGCCAATTTATTACCAAGTTCTTACCAAGTTTCTGAGCTCGTATTTCGAGGGTAGAGAGTAAGGTAGACTTATTCCTTCTGAATTCAGTTGTCTTTCTAAAATCTGCAGGTGATACAACACTGTATCGTCTCATCTCTAAATAAAACAGCATGATTCGCCTCGTGATAAAGTCATTCATTCTCGTGATGGCGAGTAATCGTTGTTCTCAGTCAGGTTGGAGCAAGTTTGAACCATCTTGTGATTAATCTTGAACCGTTCAAAATCCAATCTATTTAGAATTAATACTAGCAAAAAGGGCACTAATGTGGTGTGTGAAAATGTGACCGTCATTTACGTGAAATTTACGAAATATTGTGGTATGTTTAAAATATCCGAGGACAGCTAAGTTCGTATCTTTTCGCCTGTTATGTGACCTGTTATGTGACCTGCAGATTATAAATAAAATCAACAACACCCACATCAAACATTATTTGAAACCACATAGCTGCACTTAGACTAGAAGCTATTGACTTAGAAGCTATTGCTTCTAGGATCGTAATATTTTTTTCTGCAATTATTGTTTGTTGTTGATATTGAGCATCGGTTGCAAATAATGATGCACGTTCAAGATCAAAGGTTCAAAAACTTAGTAAGAAATAACTAAATCTCGATTGAACTTCGTTGTGATTATATCCGTTTAGCCTCCTTTTTCTATAATGTTTCCCAGGATATCAACAGCGTAAGTTTTAAATGACCGCATTTGAAATACCGTTTGAAACACTTTTTTACTTTGAGTCGACTCCAAAGCGGTTTAAAAGGTTTAAAATAGCGGTTCATGGATAATGCCGTAAGTATCCTACTTTACATATAATTTTCAGGTCAGTAGCATCCTTCCCTTCGTCATATCTTCAAGACTACAAGCGCCAGAAACAGGAGCTGGCTAGGAGGCTTAACAAAAAGAAGGACACCGATACTGTAACCACAACAGGTTCGTACTGTAACCACAACAAGTTCGTACTGTAACCACAACAGGTTCGTACTGTAACCACAGCAGGTTCGTACTGTAACCACAACAGGTTCGTACTGTAACCACAACAGGTTCGTACTGTAACCACAACAGGTTCGTACTGTAACCACAACAGGTTCGTACTGTAACCACAACAGGTTCGTACTGTAACCACAACAGGTTCGTACTGTAACCACAACAGGTTCGTACTGTAACCACAACAGGTTCGTACTGTAACCACAACAGGTTCGTACTGTAACCACAACAGGTTCGTACTGTAACCACAACAGGTTCGTACTGTAACCACAACAGGTTCGTACTGTAACCACAACAGGTTCGTACTGTAACCACAACAGGTTCGTACTGTAACCACAGCAGGTTCGTACTGTAACCACAACAGGTTCGTACTGTAACCACAACAGGTTCGTACTGTAACCACAACAGGTTCGTACTGTAACCACAACAGGTTCGTACTGTAACCACAACAGGTTCGTACTGTAACCACAACAGGTTCGTACTGTAACCACAACAGGTTCGTACTGTAACCACAACAGGTTCGTACTGTAACCACAACAGGTTCGTACTGTAACCACAGCAGGTTCGTACTGTAACCACAACAGGTTCGTACTGTAACCACAACAGGTTCGTACTGTAACCACAACAGGTTCGTACTGTAACCACAACAGGTTCGTACTGTAACCACAACAGGTTCGTACTGTAACCACAACAGGTTCGTACTGTAACCACAACAGGTTCGTACTGTAACCACAACAGGTTCGTACTGTAACCACAACAGGTTCGTACTGTAACCACAACAGGTTCGTACTGTAACCACAACAGGTTCGTACTGTAACCACAGCAGGTTCGTACTGTAACCACAACAGGTTCGTACTGTAACCACAACAGGTTCGTACTGTAACCACAACAGGTTCGTACTGTAACCACAACAGGTTCGTACTGTAACCACAACAGGTTCGTACTGTAACCACAACAGGTTCGTACTGTAACCAAAATAGGTTCGTACTGTAACCACAACAGGTTCGTACTGTAACCACAACAGGTTCGTACTGTAACCACAACAGGTTCGTACTGTAACCACAACAGGTTCGTACTGTAACCACAACAGGTTCGTACTGTAACCACAACAGGTTCGTACTGTAACCACAACAGGTTCGTACTGTAACCACAACAGGTTCGTACTGTAACCACAACAGGTTCGTACTGTAACCAAAATAGGTTCGTACTGTAACCACAACAGGTTCGTACTGTAACCACAACAGGTTCGTACTGTAACCACAACAGGTTCGTACTGTAACCACAACAGGTTCGTACTGTAACCACAACAGGTTCGTACTGTAACCACAACAGGTTCGTACTGTAACCACAACAGGTTCGTACTGTAACCAAAATAGGTTCGTACTGTAACCACAACAGGTTCGTACTGTAACCACAACAGGTTCGTACTGTAACCACAACAGGTTCGTACTGTAACCACAACAGGTTCGTACTGTAACCACAACAGGTTCGTACTGTAACCACAACAGGTTCGTACTGTAACCACAACAGGTTCGTACTGTAACCACAACAGGTTCGTACTGTAACCACAACAGGTTCGTACTGTAACCACAACAGGTTCGTACTGTAACCACAACAGGTTCGTACTGTAACCACAACAGGTTCGTCAATAATCTCTTTAAAAATTTGTTTTTTGACCGCCGAAACAAATAAATTCAATAAAACCTGGTAACAACTAGTAGCCTGGCGATAAACTCAGATTGGTTGGCTTACCTATAGCAGCTTTGTTATTGAAACTAGAAGACGTTCTCACGAAGATATAAGATGATTAATTGGCTGTAAATACTAATATTACAATTGTTTTGTAATTAATCATGTGCGGTGTTTTAAGTGACACAATTTCTTTGTTCTTTAAGTTAATTATAGCACATTTCTCGATTTCCGATCTCCAAGTCCAATGCAAATATGAGGAAGCTTTGATGCTAAGCCTAGAATTTTCCATTTTCACAATGGTAAGAATTACTGGTTAAATTCAATAAACAAATCATCTGAAAAAACTATCTAACTGTTCCAGTTTACTGTAAACTTGCATAGAAAGCCACCTCAATTGGAATTTTTCCCATAATTGTGATGAAAATAAGATTAATAAGACAAGATGAAAGATAAGCCGGTACACGGTGAAAAATTGAAATTAGCAACAAAACATTTTAAAGCTTTTAAGCATCTTTCATTCACCAATCACCTTGTTTAGCAAATAATTTTGTTAAACTATCAAAAAGGGCGGTGTTCAATTCGGACTGGCGTCTGGCATGTTGTTACAGATTTAGAAAAACAAAGAAACATCAGCATTAAGCATAAAAAAGGACAATTATTACAAAGTACACTTAACAACCTGAGCAATAGAGTGCTGATTCTACTCGTTAAGCCGATGAAGTGGTTATGATTTTATTAGAAAAGAAGCCAGAAATAACAAGTACAATTTTCTGATATCAGCGGCCTCATTGTACATTGTTTCTACATGTCTTTGATCTCATAGGAACTTTACTTTACTGACAAGCAATAGTTAATTGAGAGTTTATTAATGCGTGACAGCGTGTGCTATCCAGAGTTCATACTTCGTTATCAAGAGAGTCATCGAGAAACTATGTTTTTAAAATTCTGTAAAATGTAATGTATACTATAATATGTTGTAAGTTGTAACTAGATACAAGCTGTTGTAACTAAAAACGCGAACGGTAAAATGTACTAATTTTCAAACATACAAGGTACAGATAAGAAACCCTCTCTGAAATGTACTAATTTTCAAACATACAAGGTACAGATAAGAAACCCTCTCTGAAATGTACTAATTTTCAAACATACAAGGTACAGATAAGAAACCCTCGCTGAACGGTAAAATGTACTAATTTTCAAACATACAAGGTACAGATAAGAAACCCTCTCTGAAATGTACTAATTTTCAAACATACAAGGTACAGATAAGAAACCCTCGCTGAACGGTAAAATGTACTAATTTTCAAACATACAAGGTACAGATAAGAAACCCTCGCTGAACGGTAAAATGTACTAATTTTCAAACATACAAGGTACAGATAAGAAACCCTCGCTGAACGGTAAAATGTACTAATTTTCAAACATACAAGGTACAGATAAGAAACCCTCTCTGAACGGTAAAATGTACTAATTTTCAAACATACAAGGTACAGATAAGAAACCCTCGCTGAAATGTACTAATTTTCAAACATACAAGGTACAGATAAGAAACCCTCGCTGAAATGTACTAATTTTCAAACATACAAGGTACAGATAAGAAACCCTCTCTGAACGGTAAAATGTACTAATTTTCAAACATACAAGGTACAGATAAGAAACCCTCGCTGAAATGTACTAATTTTCAAACATACAAGGTACAGATAAGAAACCCTCGCTGAAATGTACTAATTTTCAAACACACAAGGTACAGATAAGAAACCCTCGCTGAAATGTACTAATTTTCAAACATACAAGGTACAGATAAGAAACCCTCGCTGAAATGTACTAATTTTCAAACATACAAGGTACAGATAAGAAACCCTCGCTGAAATGTACTAATTTTCAAACATACAAGGTACAGATAAGAAACCCTCGCTGAAATGTACTAATTTTCAAACATACAAGGTACAGATAAGAAACCCTCTCTGAAATGTACTAATTTTCAAACTTACAAGGTACAGATAAGAAACCCTCGCTGAACGGTAAAATGTACTAATTTTCAAACTTACAAGGTACAGATAAGAAACCCTCTCTGAACGGTAAAATGTACTAATTTTCAAACTTACAAGGTACAGATAAGAAACCCTCGCTGAACGGTAAAATGTACTAATTTTCAAACTTACAAGGTACAGATAAGAAACCCTCTCTGAACGGTAAAATGTACTAATTTTCAAACTTACAAGGTACAGATAAGAAACCCTCTCTGAACGGTAAAATGTACTAATTTTCAAACTTACAAGGTACAGATAAGAAACCCTCGCTGAAATGTACTAATTTTCAAACTTACAAGGTACAGATAAGAAACCCTCGCTGAACGGTAAAATGTACTAATTTTCAAACTTACAAGGTACAGATAAGAAACCCTCGCTGAACGGTAAAATGTACTAATTTTCAAACTTACAAGGTACAGATAAGAAACCCTCTCTGAACGGTAAAATGTACTAATTTTCAAACTTACAAGGTACAGATAAGAAACCCTCGCTGAAATGTACTAATTTTCAAACTTACAAGGTACAGATAAGAAACCCTCGCTGAACGGTAAAATGTACTAATTTTCAAACTTACAAGGTACAGATAAGAAACCCTCTCTGAACGGTAAAATGTACTAATTTTCAAACTTACAAGGTACAGATAAGAAACCCTCGCTGAAATGTACTAATTTTCAAACATACAAGGTACAGATAAGAAACCCTCGCTGAACGGTAAAATGTACTAATTTTCAAACATACAAGGTACAGATAAGAAACCCTCGCTGAACGGTGAAATGTACTAATTTTCAAACTTACAAGGTACAGATAAGAAACCCTCGCTGAGTTTAACAGACGTTAAATTGTGCGACTATCAAGATTTGGCGAAGCTCGGTAAGAATCTGCCCTCCTTGTCCCAGACCATACTCAAGTACGATGCAGCTGACCACACCTCGATGGAACAGGTCAGTAAATTTCTCAGAAACATCTAAATTATTTCAAGAATCGGTTGCTCGTTGAGATAAATTGATAATTATCTCACACTCTCTCATGCGATTTCATCAGACTCTGATCGATAAAGGTGACCTAATTTCTGGGAATTTCATCCTCACAAAATCTACCCAATCCCAAATTTTTCAGAACCACATCCCTCACGGATTACAACCTCGGACTCAACTAAAACAACCGAAAAAATGTCGCAAAGTAAGCGTACCATATGTAGATCACCTTACACAACACCTAACCGAACTGAGAGCTCAGAGTATCTGTACGATAATAGAACCCCGGGACCCCAAAACATTCAGGATAAGTAACACTTCCTCCGCCATGAGCGAACAGTCTACAACTACCTCCAACAAACTAGATCTCCCGGTCAGAGAGCCGCCTCCTCTCCTACCAACCAAGGTTAAAACAGCTGTAGACACCATCAGATCATACACAATAGACCAGCAGAAAGAGAAGTTGTCGGATTATCTGTCGGGGGTGGAAGTGAGGAGGCAGAACAGCAAAGCTTCCTTTGTGTACCCAAAAAGGGAGAAGTCGTACGGTTATAGCAGTCCGGGTACCAAGAAGTTGGGAGAGACGACTGGAGTACGTCAGCGTTTGTTTGTAGCTTTTTATAACGATTCTTAAATTATTGTTGAACTTGAAGACAACATAAACTTTGTCGAAATTGTTTCGAGTCTAGCTGCCGTTGACCGTTGACGATATCATTATTTGTTTCGGTAACTAATATAAGAATACCTTCTCATATCAGCTCTACGTTTAGAAATTTCTTTAAATAACAATTTTCGTCGGATTTAATTTTGTTGTACGCTGGTCAATATCAAAGGATTAGGATCAAATTTAAGGAAATTTGATTGTGCTAATTTTAATTTGATCAACATGTTTTAAATTCATTTTTCTGGGTCCTTTCAATTACTGGTCTTTTGCATGAATTCTTACCCATGAAACTGAATGTTTTGCATGTTAAAATGAAACCAAATACTCATTTCATGTGAAGAATAGTTTAATTCCTACCTGTTTTACCATCTACCTTCTTTAAATGGATATTTTTGCTTTTCCCGAGAGCTGAATTAAAATGAAAGCTGGAAAAAGACCAAAATTTTTTCAAACCCGAGTATTTCCAGCGCTCACTATTTCCACTGTAAAGTGCAAATTATAACGGCGAAAACTTTGCGTCGATAAGATAACCACTAACCACTAACAAGATTGCAACGCACTATTTTAAACATTACTCGTCAATGTGCAAAACCTTAGACTGAGGTTACCTAATTCATGAACTATAAAACTTAACATCGAGGTTAAACAATAATCGAAAACATGTAAAAAATACATCGAGATCAGATAATCACACCCACATTCCCCAGGCAACAATCACCCCGAGCAAGCACGACCAACGACGCTCAGCAGTAAGTCCGAGCAATCACCGGCTAGATCATGAGTGTATGCCGTCTTCAGAGGACCAGGGAGTATCCAGAGGGAGCAAGGGTGATTACAGACACTCCAGACAATCTACCATTATGTGGCAACAACCGATGAGTTACGATATAGGTGTGTTCTGAGGTTATCTTTATTGTAATGAGTTACGATATAGGTGTGTTCTGAGGTTATCTTTATTGTAATGAGTTACGATATAGGTGTGTTCTGAGGTTATCTTTATTGTAATGAGTTACGATATAGGTGTGTTCTGAGGTTATCTTTATTGTAATGAGTTACGATATAGGTGTGTTCTGAGGTTATCTTTATTGTAGTAGCTGCTTTAAGTTACTGCTTTAGTTACGATATAGGTGTGTTCTGAGGTTATCTCTATTGTAATGAGTTACGATTTAGGTGTGTTCTGAGGTTATCTTTATTGTAATGAGTTACGATATAGGTGTGTTCTGAGGTTATCTTTATTGTAGTAGCTGCTTTAAGTTACTGCTTTAGTTACGATATAGGTGTGTTCTGAGGTTATCTTTATTGTAATGAGTTACGATATAGGTGTGTTCTGAGGTTATCTTTATTGTAATGAGTTACGATATAGGTGTGTTCTGAGGTTATCTTTATTGTAATGAGTTACGATATAGGTGTGTTCTGAGGTTATCTTTATTGTAGTAGCTGCTTTAAGTTACTGCTTTAGTTACGATATAGGTGTGTTCTGAGGTTATCTCTATTGTAATGAGTTACGATTTAGGTGTGTTCTGAGGTTATCTTTATTGTAATGAGTTACGATATAGGTGTGTTCTGAGGTTATCTTTATTGTAGTAGCTGCTTTAAGTTACTGCTTTAGTTACGATATAGGTGTGTTATGAGGTTATCTTTAATGTAGTAGCTGCTTTAATAAACTTTGAGTTATAGTCAGATGAGTTATATTCTGTTCCATACAAAAGTATTTTTACTGGCATTTATCGATCATTTATTTCACCCTCACTGCAAGCAGAAATAAAAATGGATTTAGTTATTTGCTTTAGGGAAAGATAAGACTTGGGCGTTATTTTTATCCCTTGTCCAGAACTTTTAATTAATAATCTCACCAAGTTTTGAAAGGTTCTACCCCAGGATCAAGCAACAAGATACACCTACCAGACATCCAGGCTGTAGTAAAGATAACAGAGAAAGCTATGAAAGAGGCGTTCATGACACCTTTCCCTGGTGATCAACCTGATCCGGTTCGAGAGAAAGCCCCCCTTCCAGCCACCCCTCCATGCACCTCTACAATTACCAACGACTTGTAGATCTTTGTAAGGATAAAAACAACATCCACGACTTTAACCTGGCCAAGGAACTGGCCAAGTTGAGTAGTAAAACTGGGAAGTTAAACTCAGGGCTGAACTCGAAAAACGGGAATAATTTGGAGGTTTCAAGCAAGGAAAACTGTATTTATTGTCAGCTGATAATGAGGCGGGTGGGGCTTTATCAGTCTGCTCAGTTCGGGGTGACTAGTGAGAGGATGCTTATTTATAAGCGAATGCAAAGACAGACTTAGGAATTAATTAAACTAAATTATTTTGTGTAATTAATTTCCCGAGCAGTGAGTTGAGCGATGGATTGTAAGGAGTTTATCAAATCTTTATCATATACATGTAATAGGAGGTCTAGAACACTTTTATTTTGACATCCTCATGCCTCAGTACCTTAAAAAGAATTTAAGCTTCAACTATTGTCCTGAAAAATATGAGAAACTCAGGCATGATAAAACACAGGACGAACAATAATGCTCCGATCGATTTTGTTGTGTATCTCTTGTATTTAATAAATCGTTTGTTCTAGCGAGGAAACTGCTTTTTACTTGATAAGATCATATTAAATAAGCTGTGGTGAATGGTACGTGGTTTTAGATCTATGGATCATCGCAAACGTTCAACTGTATCGGCTACGGCTGACATCTTTAGGGATAAATCATAAAATGTGAACGCTTTTGTCAGAAATGAAATAGGTCTTCGGGATGCTTGAAATTCATAGAGATTAAAAGTAGTCTGATAGCGTCTAGAGTGTTTCCTTCAGTACCATCAAAATACACCATGTAATCTTTTTCTGATCCGGCACCAGTTTTGGGAAAAGGTATGCCTTTTTGAAGGTATGTCTTTTTGAAAATTACTTCAGCAGCTTAGATTGAGCTTCTCCTGTGCTCGTAGGTTTTCGAAACCACTCTTAATAAAAAGTAGAATGATGTCGAGTTTGGAGGTTGATTTAACCCAATTAAAACCGAAAATTCGTGATTTTGCTACATTTAAGTCTGTACACTTTCTAGAGCCTTCAGTTCATCAATTATTCAGGACTACTATACCAAATTTGGAAGTTATGTTTATTTATCAATTATTAGCCCCAAGCTCCCCCACTAATCCATCAGACAGTGCCACTACAAACCATAGAAATATAATGATAGTAGTACTAGTTATGATTTTGCTCGTAGACACAATATGGCAAATGAAAGTAGCGGTTCCAAACGACGGTGGTAGTGGTACTTGTACGACAAGATTTACTTGGAATCAGTGGCATGATTGTCGACTTTCTGGCTTTAACCCAATCGCTCCCACTCCGAACTCCGAAATTAATCGTTCGAGCTTGAAATGTTCGCTTAAAACTCCTTTATTAAACGTATTAAGCCTTATATTAAGATTAACGGAACTTTATAGTTAATTGTGAAATATCTACCTTAGTCGGTAATATTATGAGGGGAAATTATGGGTGTTAAAAATATGGACTGTTATAAATATGGTTCTTTGGCCCGAAAAGAACCAAATTTGACCCTCCACAATTTTAACTGCGACTTTCTTTCGTGAAAAAATCTCAAATCGAAAATATTGATCAACGAAACAGCTGCTACTGAACTTCTATTAGTCATCTGAAGTTGCTGATCTGAAATTTAAATTTAAATTGTTCCTAGTTAACCCCTCGAATTGAAAGGATGGGGGGAATAGTAGACAAATCGGACTTTTTGAACCAGAACTAGCTTCAATTCAGCAAACAATAAAGTAAGCATACTTCTGGACGTATATTATGACTGATATACCAAAAGCAACACCAAAATTTGACTCGGGGGGTTAAATTAAGGGGGGTAAAAATATGAACTGTTATAAATATGGTTCTTTGGCCCGAAAAGGACCAAATTAGACCCCCCATAATATTACCGACTAATGTAGTCCGAGTTGTGGAAGTGGCCGCTAAATTGAATCCAATTCGAGCGTTTAACTTTAAGTGCCTATTTTCTAGACACCTACCTAGTAACTAGTTAAACTTAAATGATCTGAGGATCATTGGCATTGGTCCGCCACCTAAAAGGAGGGGGTTGGTATACTTAGATACTTTGTCGGTTTCAAGGAAGTGCCCCATAGTTGTAACTGTTGAAACAATACATGAATACACATCACCTCAGTATCCTGTTCACTGTTGGTGGGGCGGCGGTTGAAGTGCTTACTTTCTCTGAACAATTGCACTTTAAGCAATAAACCGCAATAACCGCTATGATATTTGTAAAAGTTACTCGTATTGTAGAATGACTAGAGTTTTATTGATATTATAACGCATGCTGCATCATTGATTGTGCATTCATTGACCACCTACGGAGTGCAATGTATTTGAGTATGAGAGCGCTGTAAATCTCATCTCCAAATGAAATGATCAAACGAACCCTTGCTTTGATAAAGATGATTTTCAAACGGGATTGAAGCGCCCCCTGCACAGCCTAAGAAGGCGGTTCTTTGGTTACTCCCGATCATATGCAATGAACTTTCAAAACAGCCAGTCTTTGTTGGAAATAAGATGAGTTTTCCGGGCAACCTTGCCAAAGAAGTTATTAATCAAGGTCAGTAATCGTTTGCCTCTTAGTGTGCAATATTGTGGTGGTAACCACGCCTGATAAGAATATCTGGGTCCCTATATTATACCGCTAACCATACCACCACCTCCGTGTGTTGTTATGAAACTGTACTGAACTGTTCCCTCGATATCTTAAGGTGAGATTAATTAGAAAACAGCTCCCCGGTATAAAAAGTACGTGAGGATCGAGGAGAATTCGACTAATATCATTAAAATATTAAACTGTTAGTGTTATCAAATGTCGCACACTTAATATCTTGGTTCTATGTCAATTTTCGTGATCCGGTCTTATTCTCCAATTTTGAAGGTTCATCCCGAATTATTTTGATCAATGAATTGTCTTAAAATGAAGTTATTTGGGGTTATTTCTACCTTGATCAACCCATTATATATAGACTCAACATTCATATCATGATTAAAGTCTGAATCTGCCAACGTCTTTGATTGTTCCGCGGCTAGACCTGACCATCCTATGATTGTTGTAAATGTCTCTTCACGACAGGACCATGAAATCTCCAGCGAAGAGAGACTGATAACTGGTCGTCAGAGGAGAGAGACCCATTACCATGATCAGCGGAGAGAGACCGATTACCATGATCAGCGGAGAGAGACCGATTACCATGGTCAGCGGAGAAAGAGAGACCGATAACTGGTCAGAGGAGAAAGAGGGACTGATGACTGGTGGGTGGAGTAAACCAGGAAGTATTTCCAAATATCCGAGGAAGCACACGTCACACCAACCACAGACCTATCTCTCACTGAGTTACATAGCCTGATCCTGCTCTTACCGCCCGTCACGGGGAGGGTGTTGAGTTACAAATTCCACGAGTTGTCGGGTTTTTGGTTTGTTTTTGGTTCATTACTGGTTTGTTTTTGTATTGTGTTTTTGTTTGATTACTGTCACTAGGATTTTTTAATAGTAGTCAGTGAACCATTTTCCGACGTAGCTTTGATGCCGTATATCCACGATGCTCCTATTTTAAAAGGAAAATACCGATTCGTATTCATTTTTCACCCGTTGATTGTTTTGGTTCCACTGCAAACTGAGAGTGCAAAGCGAAATTACGCAACGGGCACAAGTATGCAGCGAAGGTGGGATAAATGATTAGAGCTAGTATGTAGTAACAGTGCTCCGTTGGCACAGGATTTTAGCTGTTAAATTGCGCAGCTGATACTGAAGGAACCATGGAGTCACACTAACGTGGATTGACGTCGTGCTTTCAGATAAGGCATTCCATCATCGTCATCTTTACCTGCAACTCTAAAACTCAGCTGTAGACTTCGGTGCCACATTATCTTTCTCTCGACCAAATTATGATTCTTGGAAATTCAGTGGTTATAACTTCATGAATCTAGCCAGAACATTCTGACTCAGGTTTCTTATTTTCCCGTGTTTTCTCTTGCAGCACCAGTGTTTGTTGAAATTTGAATCGTTAAGTTGACTTGAACATTGTATAAGAAGATTTTATGCGAGAATTTGGTGGAATTATCTCATAACTGCCTATCCCACCGCTCCATCTCTAGCATCAAGGTCGAATGAGTGCTACCTACATATCAGCTCATCCATTCCTTCAGGCGTGAATTCGTAATTTACGAACATTGAACGTTCCACCGGCTAAACAAAGGCAGTAATCGCTGGACCGGATCCAGCGCGGGTCACGACAGACAGAGATTAAATGTTAATGATTAATCCTTCTCTCCGGACACTACACCGGAGTGTGTCAGCTAACGAGTGTGCCCTGCATGAATTGTAGAGGCCAGCTTATGATGATGATGGAGGGTCCAATCAACCCGCAGGGGGGCAGACTCGAGACCCCTTTAATTATTGGCAAGCTCTTTGACGTGTGCAGCGTCGTGTACATCTGACTTACTGTTGTACTGCTGTTTAGTTTTATCGCTTCAGATGCTGGTGAGCAGCTGGTAGTGGTAGGCCGTGTTACGTGATAGTGATTATGGGTTGTCAGTGGTTGATCCGTGATAAAGCTGATTGGTTAATCGCTGTCACGTGTCAGGAAGATAAGGTCACGTGTCAGGAAGATAAGGTCACGTGTCAGGAAGATAAGGTACACCTCCTTACCAGTTTCCATACTTATCATGGATATCATTGCGAATCTTGTAGAATAGTTATTTATTAGACTGAGTAAGTTCATGTTCCCATTATTCGATATATTTCACAAGTACAGCATCCTACGTCGTGTTAAAAATGATCACATACTCAATTAGCACATTGCACATTGCACAACTTCATTAAGGAGACAAAATTTAGGCATTCAGCAGTTGGTAAAAAAGAACCCAATAAATTATTTTGATAGCATGTGGCAGGTTGTTATAAGCTTAATAAATATATAAGCATAAGTTTTTAAACTGTTAAATACTTCCCACCTAGCTCTATTAGGTCTACAAGGAACTTCCTGAGGAAGGAACTTCCCGAGGAAGGAACTTCCCGAGGAAGGAACTTCCCGAGGAAGGAACTTCCTGAGGAAGGAACTTCCCGAGGAAGGAACTTCCTGAGCAAGGAACTTCCTGAGCAAGGAACTTCCTGAGCAAGGAATTACCCGAGGAAGGAACTTCCTGCGCAAGGAATGACCGTGCAGATTTACTGCTTCCTAACCTGGCTCAATTAACAGGTCCAAGTTTAACCTGATAATGTTGTTGGACCTGCGGTAAACTTTATCATTATGATGATTATGGCAATGAGCATCTTGCAAAATTACATTAATAATTCTATGTATCGGAAAAGGAGATAAGACACCAAATTCCATACTTACATTAATGATACCTTGTATCGGATAAGGAGATAAGATTCCAGTCTCAGCATCCAATATACCTAAGATTACTTACTTTAGGAATACGTGATCGATTGATCCCTTTCTTCACTTCTCCGTTCACGTTTATTCTCGTCACAACCAAGTGATCTCCTCTGCTAATTGACCTCTTGTCTCAAGTCACTCCATTGCTAATTGATCCCCCGATCTCAACTTCTCAACTCACGTGTTCTCACGTGTTGTGACGTTCCGCACTACGTCTCCATTCTCGCATCCAACTCGCCACATATACCTCTCAAGTTCTCCTCGCAATCGGAACCAACCAGCACTAATTCCACTCTTCCTAGCATATAACAGCAACCACCAGCCGTCCTCACTATTCTCACAGAGCACACAAACAACCAGCTATCTACCGCGTCAAATCAGAGAAAGTAGTTTCAGTGATCTTGTTAAGCTTGTAGAACTGCCGTCGTATCCGACGTTGGGAGTTTCTAGAAGTGCTTGTTGCTTTTTTTGTTTTGATTAGTCGTACGGCTCTCTCCTGCAGTAGAGTAGGTGCTTGCGGAGTAGGGTTGCTTGCGGAGGAGTAGGTGGTGCCGCCAGCACGAGATTCATTATTCTCATTTATTTCTCATTGTACAGCCAGCATGATTGTAGTTTGATTGTAGCACGATTGCCAGCTTTAATTGTGGTCGGTCTCGAGCTCTTTTACTCTTGCATAGCATCGCTTGTTAACAATCATTATCGTTTATTCTGCTGAGCACTAGTAACTAAACTGGCATTAAAGAGTTTTAGCTTGTACCTATCTTAATCGTTCCTATAATCTGACTTGCATTTTTAAAAGTATTATGACCATGCTAAATTCTAATGCAGGTGAGATTTAACTGTCGCCGTATGGTAGTGGTACATCAACTTTATTATATATCATGTCTAGCGATAATTCTCTGCCAGACAATAGCACGTAGTTACCCAGTGCCCCTTTATTATATATCATGTCTAGCGATAATTCTCTGCCAGACAATAGCACGTAGTTACCCAGTGCCCCTTTATTATATATCATGTCTAGCGATAATTCTCTCCCAGACAATAGCACGTAGTTACCCAGTCCCCCTTGTCACGCAGCTTTAAAATGAGAGCGTTTTAAATGATTCCAGAATGAGAGCAGGTCACCACTACACCACCATACCACTACTTAGTACCACAGACGTCATCAACCCGTTAATTTCTGCAACTGAATGGTTGAACCATCACCAACCAACCAATAGAATGGCGCCGTCAACTTCCAGTAAAACTACTACCACTTCCATGCCTGGGAATGGAGGTTGTTGAGTCGTCTGGAGATGGAACCGAGTTTTCTCATTATAGAATATTGAGGTTCCAGTTCCAGTCAGAATATGTGGTAGTCGTTTACGTGCTCTACTATATTTAACCTTAAAATTAAATGTAACTATTTGACGTTGGAAGCCATTTTAATTCTCATTTTTTGCATGATCTTTGATCTTGGTATGTTTTGAATTCTTGCTCAGTCTGTATGTTTGGTTGTGGTTTCATTGTTTGTTTTGCCTAAAAGTTCTGCTGGAAGATTTTGAACAATCGCCAGTTAATTTCACAATAAACTGTCACTTACACTGGTATGGCATCTTATCAGGTATATTCACACGGGAAGAATCACAGCGACAGTACCACAGTGGTCACAAGCAGCAAGTAAAGTAGTTACAGTGCAGTTACAGTTACAGTGAAGTTATACGCGCCAGTAAGTAGGTAGCATTACCACACATATTAGCATTGTACACACAGCTAGTGGTGGTGGTTAGTATTTCCTTGTCAAGCTCAAAACACACACGACATAACAACATCACCATGTTTTACCGCATGAAGTATGGTGATACTTCATATGATAAAACTCCACATTTCACTACATTTCACTACATCTCACCACATTTCACCACATTTCACCACATTTCACCACATTTCACTACATTTCACTACATTTCACTACATCTCACCACATTTCACCACATTTCACCACATTTCACCACATTTCACTACATTTCACTACATTTCACTACATTTCACTACATTTCACTACATTTCACCACATTTCACTACATTTCACTACATTTCACCACATTTCACCACATTTCACCACATTTCACCACATTTCACTACATTTCACCACATTTCACCACATTTCACCACATTTCACCACATTTCACTACATTTCACTACATTTCACTACATTTCACCACATTTCACCATATTTCACTACATTTCACCACATTTCACTACATTTCACCACATTTCACCACATTTCACCACATTTCACCACATTTCACCACATTTCACTACATTTCACTACATTTCACTACATTTCACTACATTTCACTACATTTCACCACATTTCACTACATTTCACTACATTTCACCACATTTCACCACATTTCACCACATTTCACCACATTTCACTACATTTCACTACATTTCACTACATTTCACCACATTTCACCACATTTCACTACATTTCACTACATTTCACTACATCTCACCACATTTCACCACATTTCACCACATTTCACCACATTTCACTACATTTCACTACATTTCACTACATTTCACTACATTTCACCACATTTCACCACATTTCACCACATCTCACCACATTTCACCACATTTCACTACATTTCACTACATTTCACTACATTTCACCACATTTCACCACATTTCACCACATTTCACCACATTTCACCACATTTCACTACATTTCACTACATTTCACTACATTTCACCACATTTCACCATATTTCACTACATTTCACCACATTTCACCACATTTCACCACATTTCACCACATTTCACTACATTTCACTACATTTCACTACATTTCACCACATTTCACCACATTTCACTACATTTCACTACATTTCACTACATTTCACCACATTTCACCATATTTCACTACATTTCACCACATTTCACTACATTTCACTACATTTCACCACATTTCACCACATTTCACCACATTTCACCACATTTCACCACATTTCACTACATTTCACTACATTTCACTACATTTCACCACATTTCACCATATTTCACTACATTTCACCACATTTCACTACATTTCACTACATTTCACCACATTTCACCACATTTCACCACATTTCACCACATTTCACCACATTTCACCACATTTCACTACATTTCACTACATTTCACCACATTTCACCACATTTCACTACATTTCACTACATTTCACTACATTTCACCACATTTCACCATATTTCACTACATTTCACCACATTTCACTACATTTCACTACATTTCACCACATTTCACCACATTTCACCACATTTCACCACATTTCACCACATTTCACCACATTTCACCACATTTCACCACATTTCACCACATTTCACTACATTTCACTACATTTCACTACATTTCACCACATTTCACCATATTTCACTACATTTCACCACATTTCACTACATTTCACTACATTTCACCACATTTCACCACATTTCACCACATTTCACCACATTTCACCACATTTCACTACATTTCACTACATTTCACTACATTTCACCACATTTCACCATATTTCACTACATTTCACCACATTTCACTACATTTCACTACATTTCACCACATTTCACCACATTTCACCACATTTCACCACATTTCACCACATTTCACTACATTTCACTACATTTCACCACATTTCACCACATTTCACTACATTTCACTACATTTCACTACATTTCACCACATTTCACCATATTTCACTACATTTCACCACATTTCACTACATTTCACTACATTTCACCACATTTCACCACATTTCACCACATTTCACCACATTTCACCACATTTCACCACATTTCACCACATTTCACCACATTTCACCACATTTCACCACATTTCACTACATTTCACTACATTTCACCACATTTCACCACATTTCACTACATTTCACTACATTTCACTACATTTCACCACATTTCACCATATTTCACTACATTTCACCACATTTCACTACATTTCACTACATTTCACCACATTTCACCACATTTCACCACATTTCACCACATTTCACCACATTTCACCACATTTCACCACATTTCACCATATTTCACCTGGTAAGGATCAGTTTCCTGGTCAGTTCATGGCATGTTACTTCTGATGTGTCACCCTTTGTCAACTGAGACAACTGTTATCCATTTTCACTTATGACTACAATATGTGCTGGATATCAGTTCTATTTTCGTCGCAGTGTGGTCACCAAACAAATTTTTTGTTCATGAGCTTTTTATGGCTTCCATGGCGGCTTATTGTTGAGGTAACGAAAGTTTTACTGAATTTTGTTTCTTTACTAAAAGCACCTTTGAAGTGCAGTTGTTGAAAGCGTATTTGCTTTTTAGCTCCGACCAAATCTGTCTGTCAGTTCCAAGATTTAATTACATTGATATGTTTTGGTCATTGATACTCAAATGAATCCTCATAATTCAGGATCGTTTTAAAGCCGTACTTGAGTTTTCGTCAGCTTTCTAGTTTGCAAATTCTGCAAGAGCAGTTGATGAACAAAACACAACAAATTATAGCATAACACCATAATAATTTCAAGATTTAACCCACTTATTAATCTCAGAATGACATTTAACCTAATGATAAAGTCTCTGCTGGCACTGCAGCTGATCAGCGGAACTGATACAGCCCGCAAGAGATGGGTGGGGGAGGCAACCTGGAGTGAACCCAACAACTGGAATAATGGTGAGTTATTCTAGTTCTCTACTTACACTTTATCAGTCATGTATTATTAGATTTCCTGGAATCCTAGTGTTGTGCTCCAATAATTTTATTACATCGATTCTAAAAATAATTTAAATATGAGTTGCCCACTGGAACTTCCAAATTCGTTCTAATTCTAATCTAAAATTTCCAGAGAATTATAATTTATCTTATTGCAGGATTACCAAGCGGCTGTGACGGAGCTCTTATAGAACCAAACCAGATTCTCACCATAGCAGCCCAGGCCAACATAGCTGAAATATCCTTTGGAGGCGACAGTGCGATTGTCTTTGATAGTTTTTCAGAAGTTGCGTTCGGGCAGGGTGGAAATTACTGTAACGATGTGGATAAGAGCATAAAGTTTTACGAAGCAGCTAGAGACGACTTCTTGTCTGTAGAGAACTGGGAGGCAGATGGTGACCTGGACGATTTGGACCTTCTCGATATCCACAGAATACCTTGTAAGTTGGTTTTTTAACATCGCATTTTCGATAAAATGGACAGTTGGAATTTAAACTTATCTATGAATTAAAGGTAGGGATTTCTTGAGAATCTCGCATAGGTTAAGCCTCTAACTGCTTTTCTAACAAATCCGATAATCCCAGGTCAGAACGACATCATAGAAGTTCCCCACCGCCAAATGAGAGCAGAACTACACTCCCCAGTCAAAGTGGGGGCAGTCAGCTACGGAGGACAGCATCTCTCCAGAGACCAAGTCCATGACTGGCTCAACTCTCCTGATGGAAGAAATGAGCTGAGGATGTTATCTTCGTTCGTGCTGAGTGATGTTTCCTACTGCAAGTCAAGGAGTGGGTGTGAGTGTGGGAATGAAGCTTCTTGTAATGGAACCACCTGTAGGTCTCCTCTTCTCTGTGATTACCCTGGTGAGTTCTTTAAACCTGATTAACATAACACTTTACTTAGCAGTTAAGTACTTGTTTCAGTAGACAAATTACGATGAATCTCTTTAAAACTGATAATTAAAACCCGGATAAAAAGAGAGAAATATGTTCCATATTGACAAGCTAACATCCCCCCCCCCTCTCAGTAACTACTCCCACCATGTGTTGTCCTTTCTGTGGTTCTCTCATGACAGTTCCAGTTAATTATGAGAAGTCCTACAGGCAACTCCAACTTGAACTCTCCACAATTCTCTCTCATCTGAGCATTCCGCAAAACCTCAAAATGGGCATTGATCAAGGTATGTCTGATTATCAGATTATGGTTACCTTACTCGGGAATATTATGACTGGGATAAAGTGGTGGATTTTGGAAAATTCCGCCATATTTTTCCCGGTCATTAATTTTCCCAGTCATAAATTAACCAGCTATAATGTTCCCGAGTAAGGTAAACTAATAGTAATACATTTTGATGCTTGGTGGGTTTTGGAAAATTCCGCCATATTTTTCCCGGTCATTAATTTTACCAGTCATAAATTACCCCGCTATAATATTCCCGAGTAAGGTACATAACCACACGGAGACAAAATACAAGAATCTAACGGATTGTTTAGCTCAATTTAAACCACTGAATTGGTAAAGATGTAAGATTTGAGATCCCCATTAATAACATCTTGTCTCCCCAGGTAAACTGTACCTAGTTGTAGAGCAGCGCGGAGACCAATCCACCGTTGACGTATCAGAGGTGGTGATGCAACGCCTCATACTCAGTAACTACTCTACACCACAACAGATAGAGGTGCGTACTGTGAAGTGTTGTAGTTTTGGAAAATCAGACATTAAGTGACATTCCTACAAAATAATATCATTAGATATAAATATAACATCACACTTTCCCCCTGTAAAAAATAAAATCTATGAAAAAATAAATCTATACCCGAAAGATTGTCCTCATTGTAATATCCGGATAGAATATTATTTAGGAGACAATTTCTTATTATTTCGTGTATGCGATTCATTGAGGGGCTTAAAAACAGCTGGATGCCACCAAGATAATTTCAGTTATCTGTCAGTTTTTACATAGATCCCACTTAATAAACCTTGAACCCTATTTTCCCTTCCAGGTGGTTAGAAGCTCAGCTCCAGTCATTGCAGATCCTATCCATCAGACTAAAGTGCACACAAACTCCATCTTGTTAGTTGTTCTAGCCTGTATGGTGCTCTGTCTCATTACTCTAGGTAATTTAAACACATTCGGTAATTAATTTGGTAATTTAATAATTGTATTAAAACTTAAACATTGAACTGGTACTTCGTGTTCTTTGAGTATTGTTAGGAACTTTACTTCACAAAAATAAAGGAATATAATTTAAACCACTGGACATATAATTATCAGTGAATTATCTGGTCTCAGGAGTTATCAAATGATGTTATTATTATGAATTTCCAAGTTGTTAACGTGACTAACCATCTATAATTCCCACTAGGTCTAGTTTCCAAGTTGTTAACGTAACTAACCATCTATAATTCCCACTAGGTCTAGTTTTGTTGTACATCATACGAAGAAAAACGTCCATGTTCAGACCAGTCCAAAGAAATGACTCTCAGATGAATGCCTGTAATACGTAAGTAGCTTATAAGCAACACATTTTCTCGAAATAACAATCAAGCACAAGCGTGAGATTTATAACGAAGTGGAATTATAATGACGAAGTTATAGTGCTAATACGCTGAACATGAACCGTCCAATATCCATTTCATTCAATATATTAAAGTCACTATTGTGACGGTACATTAGAACTAGACAGAAACAAAGTGTGAAGGGCCTGAACGGAACCCCTCGGTTTCAGTTCCTTGTTTAACACTGCCGTACAACAAGGACATCCACCGGGTTCTCCAAGGATGGGCACATAGCTCACTCCACACTATGCTCTGTCAAATGTTGCTTATATACCAAGGATCTACAGGAAATATTTCCTTGTAAGTTTAGAGGGCGATCTGTGAACAGACAACTACCTCATTCCCAACTATAACTCTCTAACCACTATTCTCTCCCAGGTATGAAACACTTGAGCCAGACCAGCACTTGTACGAGACGATCAGAATAAGCAGAGTTAAATCTGACGAATACTACAGTCCGGTAACAGAGTACTCACCCAGCCAAGATAAGAGAGAGCCGTGCCTCTACCGTTACCCTGGAGACGAACAGACTCCCTGTTGTCACCCTGACAACATTGAGCTTAGCAGCCGGTTGGGGATGGACAAACAAAACACTTTAACATCAGTCTGAACAGTGTATGGGTCGAGAATTGAGTTCTCACTTCATGTTTCAACGGAGCAACTTATGCAGCGGTGCAATATCAGCGACTGAAATTCTGATTTCCCTGAGCAACTAGGTGGTAAGAGGAAGAGAAGAGAAGACTGAAGATGTACTGGCTGGGTTAGTACTCTGCTAGAAGAATGCCAGAATCTATAAGTGAAACTGAAGATAGCAACCATTTTGTTGGACAATTCAGAGAGATGAAATATATCTTGTGATTCACTCACCTCGTGCAAAACGGGTCAAATAGAAACTTGATGGAACTATGTTACCGTATATTCGAGCCAATGGTTCAATCGGAGTTTGAACTTTATGTAATTCGATTAACTTATTATCTAAATCAGTTGTATGATTGTGTTTCAGTAAGAGCTGTTTAGTAATTAGTTTATTAGTACAATTTATCAAAACAATGTCTACTACTTACTAATTAGTAATGTCTTGTGTTTTCAAGAACCTGAAGCCTCATTCTCATATTCTCATTAAACATTTCTTGAATATTTCAGCTATACTTTAATTTATCGTTTTAATTTGTTCGGCCATTTTATAATTTATATAATACAATTCTACAATTATATTTGGTTACGCATAGCATTTTACCTCAGCCTTCTAGTATAATTTAAGAACAGCATAATGAATGCATGCTCAGCAGACAAGTAGCTTCTTAAGTTGAACCCCCTGCTTTGTTTCGGTAAAGTTTGAGTTATATTATTTGGCATCTTTAGAAGTGGCTATTAAATAATTACTATACAGAACTTCATAAAAACGTTCAGCTGCACCTTACCAATTAATGCCGAATACTTGAAAACAACGATAGGGTAATTTCCCCACCACTATTACCGTTTTGACTCTAGTTTATTACCAATACTAAAGTAACCATAGTTTGACTTTGATGGTTTCTCGACTATTACCGGCCCAAGAATTTGAATATGCACACACTTTCTTGACAGGCACGTGTCACACCACGTGTCACACCACGTGTCACACCACGTGTCACACCACGTGTCACAACACGTGTCACACCACGTGTCACACCACGTGTCACACCAAGGGCAACTTCTTAATTTCAGAAATCATGTGGCGAAATTAAAAAGAAGCTGCGCTGAAGCTAACATATACAGGGTGACTTTTTTGAGAAATGATACAAAATATTATGAAGGAGCATATTGATCACATTTTGTCAATATGTGTCGAATTTATGCATACCAAGTTTCAAGTCCCTATCAATTTTTGATTTCTCACAAATTGCTATTCTGTTATGGTGCTACCTCAGGAATTTAAGCTTGCTGTAATTAAGGGGTCTCAAGTATATATAGCAAGTAAGTTGCCTCCTAATTTGTTTGAGAATTTGTCAAGTGTGGACTGTGGATTACCGGCCCAGCGGTTAAATGGTCAGCCACAGAAATCATTACCTAACTTCGCCCTCTAAAATCTAAATGCGGTTACTCTGTTTGACGTAATGGTCTCCCTGATCAAAATGATTTTCCTTTAAACCATATTTTTCGGATTATAAAAGCAATTAGTAGTTTTGATAGATTATTCTGGTTCCCTGTACTACACTATTACTATACTACTACTGTACAATCAGACCCCCCATTTAGCGAGTCTATCAAGGGAAGGCAAAAATGTCCGTCAAATGGAGGGTAAATACTAAATAGTGGTACTGGTAGTATCTGAATTATACATAAATCCAGTATTTTAGGATCAGAAACAGGCCCGGTATATTTGGGTCTTCTTTCCGAGAAGTGTGGACGCAGCTCCGAGATACTTCACGTGTCAAACATTGTCAAACTCTGACACTTGACTCTCCTCCAGAGCATGAATTAGTACTAAAGTAGAATGTTACAGTTAATACAATTATTACAGTCCCTACTGTTCGTGGCACTGTAATCTTTTGGCCTGATTTTGGTAAAAGTGAAACACAAAGCGATGCAGATGACACGCTATTTGTCGGGTCAAAAAGTTACAGAATCTTACAAATACCAACATTGGCGACAGCCCTAGGAAACACGGCAAGGCAAGATCTTGTTAGATCTTATTACTGTTGTATTCTTTTCCTGTGGTGTTACATTTTTATCACGGTAAATCTTAGGTTTAGCTTTAAATTATTGAACCGGGCAAGATCAACGTTGCGACGATAGCTTTAATGCGTAAGAATATGTTTATTTTTAAGGGGGTGGATCTGTTAGTGGTTGGGGGGGGGGGGGGGGTGGACCTGTTAGTGGTTGACCCACAAGAGGACAGCAGACAGTTTGTCTAACTCTGGGCGTGACAACCCTCCAGGGGGATGATGCCGGAAGAAGATACTCTCTTTCCTAATCGTAGTTTCACAATGTCTTTTGAAGTAGAACTTGCAAGCTGCACCATGGACTGTTACTCGCTGGTCAGAAACATTCACTTATTTTACCTTGTAATTCTAAAACATGACATAGATCAGCAGGGTTGCTACCCGAAAATTAAATTCAACTCTGGGACGTGTGTTTGTAGTCGCTGCAGGTCACATTGTATTATACAAATATTTTGGCTTTTTTTAAACGTACTTTGTGGATAAGGGAAATGCTGAAAATAACCATTTTGATGTCCCTACTCTGTGACTCTAAGAGATAAGAATATCGACACAGTTTTCAGTGGCCAAAATAGGTAGGTAGCGAAATTGTTGTCATGGAAAATATAACATTGCGTGACAATTTTTGGTGCTCCAGTGGTAAACGTTGCATATCTTTATCAAGTATACCCTGCTACTAGATTATACCCTTTATACTGATATCTTTAATCAAGTATACCCTGCTACTAGATTATACCCTTTATACCGATATCTTTAATCAAGTATACCCTGCTACTAGATTATACCCTTTATACTGATATCTTTAATCAAGTATACCCTGCTACTAGATTATACCCTTTATACTGATATCTTTAATCAAGTATACCCTGCTACTAGATTATACCCTTTATACTGATATCTTTAATCAAGTATACCCTGCTACTAGATTATACCCTTTATACTGATATCTTTAATCAAGTATACCCTGCTACTAGATTATACCCTTTATACTGATATCTTTAATCAAGTATACCCTGCTACTAGATTATACCCTGCTACTAGATTATACCCTTTATACTGATATCTTTAATCAAGTATACCCTGCTACTAGATTATACCCTGCTACTAGATTATACCCTTTATACTGATATCTTTAATCAAGTATACCCTGCTACTATAGTATACCCTGCTACTAGATTATACCCTTTATATCAAGTATACCCCGCTACTAGATTATACCCTTTATACTGATGATTTTAGCTATGTGTTAAATACAGATCTACTTTTCGGCGAGACAGTAAAACGGTTTCTATAAAACTGGTTATATTTACACGTACTATATGAGCCAAAAAGCTGGGTGCAGAGTGCGGCGAGGAAGTACAAATTAAATACCCGAAACCCGACAGTCTAGACTGAAAATACGTCGGATTGCTCTAGGAATCGGTGAGAGGTCGAGACCATTCTATTCACTTTATTACTATGAATAGTTATTAAGTGCATCAGTATATTCTTCTGCAATAGAGCATGGGTTGCGATTTACTCTTTGTGTTATTCGAGAGAGGTAGTTACTAGTACTACCATAGATTTAGTCCTGAGTTTGACACAAAATTACAAATGCATGTCAATGCTTCAATGTGCTAAATCATTTTATATATTTTATAACAATAATGTATTATTAATGATATTATATTATCGAATATTGATACATTACATTTACAACAATGAATCGTTATAATATACTACAAGTCTATACCACGGACCACCATCAACTGATAGAAATTATCCCGACTATCGGTTGCAAATTTGAGTAAAATTATGGCTGTTCCACCATCTGCAGAAATGAGGTCGGAATTTATTCCTGGCGGCTGGTACACATTGTTTTATATTTGTTTGCGCTGACTTTGACATAAAGGAAACTATAATCGTACATTACAGTTCATTTTACTTTACTTTATGGTGTATGTCGCTGTATTGTCGCATTACAATGGCTTGATATGTTCAGCAGACTACCGAAATTGGTTTAGGAACCTACAGCGCTTTTTTCCTTGTCCTACGAATTTCTAATTGGTGCTGTAAACTTTTGCTGAATTTGTAATTTATAATTTTGATTAATTTGCAGAACAAGATACACAGAAGTACTACAATTGTTGTTATAATGGTTAAATGCGTGTAAAAATCGCCTCATTTCAATTATATTTCTATATAACTTTTTACCCTGTACTGTTACATTGTCTCCTATTTCCTATCCTTAACATATTTTCACGACAACGGGACGTTTAAAATTCGTTATACTGTAGATTTTGCTCCAAATTGAAGAACTCTTCATATGAAATGGGTTAAAATTCGACCTTTAGAACTTGAACGTGTTCACGACGATTATAATAGACAGATTTAACATACCATACCTGATATCTGGGGTCAGCAGCTTGGGTAGAGTGTAGACTGTAGTGTAATAATGTAAACCCTCCGCCAGGCGCCATCTGATATCTGTCCTACATGATGCTAGCAATCGAAGGGTTAATATACATTCTACAGAGATAACGGGACGGTGTTGTATGGAGTATCAGCAGTAATATGGCAAACAGTAAAGGGCACACTCAAACTGCGAAACCTCACACACGCGTTCCTGATTGGACAAGATCAATGCACGTAAGCATGTCATGTGACCGATCAAGGAGCCAATCAGAGCGCGCTATTACAACGCGCGCGTCTGAGTGGAGGATATAACTAGTCACGTGACACAACACGCTCGCAAATCTGTTTTCATTTCCAGTCTCACCTCTCTAACATTGAGATCCATTTCCACTGTACGGGTTATTGAGTTGCTGATCGTGCAAGTTGATATTATATCTCTTACCTTGCGTTCAATTTCATGCATTCTCCAGGATGGTTGATAGATAACGAACTTTATCTCGCATTGAGGATACATACGTCGTATCCCTGTGATTCGACATTTCAGTTCAGTATCTAATGTTCAATATCTTAATACCATTATATCCTAGTTATTCTACTGATAGCCTAGACCTTTCGGTTTTTCGTGCCAACTTTATGATCTCTAGTATTGATTAATCATCGTCATGGCAACATGTTCTTGTTTAAGATTTCTTCGTTATTAAATGACCTACAGCGAACAATGTAACAACATAATCATACTTGTTTTGATTCAGAAGGCTAGATTGATCTAGATATAGTCTACATGATAGGGTCCTCTTTATCATTCAATATTCGAACGTTGTCCCCGGCCGAGTATCTATCTCCTGCACAGTGGCGTAACGTTGCAGCATTAGTCATCTCACCGTGTTGTGGCTCGTTCAACTTCAAACTACAGATCTTCATTCCACACGCCTTCCCATGTCTAGTCCTGATCCTACTTCACATTTCCCGTGTCTAGTCCCCATCTTACTTCACATTAAAAGAAAGCGGACTAATCTAGGGGCGAGCATTTGCGGAGAGTAATGTGGTGTCACAACA